ACACCACTTAATCAACAGACACACACACACATTGATTTGCTTCATGTTTTAACTACTGCTATGGCCAGCTGCAAAGCTGGCAACAGAGATGTCTCGGTTGACGTTTCTGTGTAGTATGGGGCTAGCCCAACCGAAGGGATATAATGTATAGGCCTGGTGGGTTCAGGGTCTTTCATCTTTCATCTGCCCGCGAGAAGTTTGGAGGTGCAAGATGCCTGAGCGTGTAATGTAATTTCTACCTGTGTTCATGGAATAAATCAGCACAGTTTTGTAGTTACTTGGACTGCCTCGTCTCTCAGAGTCAGTATGGTAAAAAGTACCGGGTACAACAAAATGAATCTCATAATTTTTGAGGGAGCTCGGAACCTTAACGTCATACCATACCATGCTGAATATATGGGCCATAAGCTTCACCTTGACCAGAATGAAAAACTTGTAATGTTTGGAGTGACCCATGTTTTAGCCATCGATGGATTCAGCAAAAAGATTGTGAGTCATTCCACAATGCCGATCAAAAACAACTTGTCCATCTATGAAGACGTTTTCAGGTAATGCCAACAGTACCACAGACACCTGTTGATTTTGTAATTTAAATTTGATTTATCAATTTTTAGATGAATTTGTATAACCTGGTTCCAGCCGTCAGCCTATCTACTCACCTGTTTGTCCTGGACTCCTCAGCTGTCACTGCCCTACTCCGGTTCAGTATTGTACATGGACTTTGTTCTGTTGTTACTTTGTGTTTTTCTTTTCCATTAAACCTCCATTTTTCTGCTAGCACCCGGGTCTGCAAACTTGAGTCCTACCCTAGTTCTCCCTCACCCTCCTGGTGAGGGGGTACTAAACCCTAATGCATTTATTGCAGAGTAAAAACTCTTGGATTTTGAACATATCCTCAGTGCCTCCTGTGGAAAGTGACACTGCCCCTCATTCATTATACATTCTTAGAAGTAATGTTTGTTCTTCATCTACCAAATAAGTACACCACAACATTAAACTCACCAAGTGGGTTTAATGTTGTGACCCTGACCAGTCTGTGGCTACACTGCCCCATACACAGCAAACTGCTAAGCACTGTGGCTATGATCAAAAGGCTTTAGAACCTACAGTGCATCGTGTCTTGCTGCATATGGGACTGTGTAGCCTCATACCAGCCAGAGCCACATTAAAACCACCTGATGGATTTTAATGCTATGGTTGATCAGTGTATGAACGCATACAAGTATAACAGTTAACATAAAAAGTGCATCACTGTTGGACAGAAATGAAAATAACATTATGCACAACTTCAAATAATTTTCCTCCTCTAGGCCTGCAGTGATCACCTATGGTATGTGGGAACAAGTGCGAGTAGACCATGGAAAGGAGTTTTACTTGACACTGTTCATGCAGGAGATGCTGTCACACCATCGCTTCAATCAGGAGAGACTGCCTTATCTACAGACTTCATCTACAAGAGTAAGATTTCTGCACTATCAACAAAAGAAACTGAAATTCTTTCCAATTTATACTTAATAAATTTAAGCAGTGTTTTTGTTAAATCAGAACCACACAGTTGAACGACTTTGGCCTGAGATCAACAACCGTGTCAACTACCCCTTGAAAACAGCCCTTCTCCAGCTGATGGACCAAGAGGAGATTGATATGGAGGACAGCCTTGTAAGATACTGTGTGTCCAACCTAACTTGTAGGCTGTGCCACATTGGTCTTACAAGTGTGGCAGAATCCTGGAATGCTCATAGGATTCCAGGTATAATGTATAGTAGACAGTATAACTTGAGCACATCGGTAATAATCACGTAAAAA